AAGAAAAGAATTAAGAACAAAAAATTTATGTAAAAAATGTATTATTGGATAAACATAGTGGAGAAAATAGGAGAGAAGAGAGTTATCTTCACATATTTAACTAAGTAAAAAAAATTAATAAAACTATAAGTATATTGCATAATTTTTTCATAATAATAAAATCAAATTTAATAAACAATTTAAAATTTCCATTATAATATTTTTTTTTTAATTTTTAAGTTTTTATATTTCCATCCTACATAAAAATTATTTAACATTAAATTTTTAAAAGATTCCATTAATTAATTAACTATATATATATATATATATATATATATATATAAAAGATTGAATAATTTGGAATAAGATAAATTTCCAGAGAAATTGATAAAAACAATTTGAAGATTTAAATTAGCAAGTAATTAAAATATTACAAATAATTAATTTACAATAACAACACACTTTTCAAATTAGAAACTTCTCTGTTATAAAATATGTATTAGAAGTTAGGTAACATTTTTTTACTTTTCTCTCTTTTCTTTCTCAAACAAAACCTCTTTCAACTCTAAACCTTAAGTACGAGTCTGAATGTTTATTCTACTCAATTCTAAATAAGTTTCTTAGAGTTCAGTATTTTAATCTCATTTTTATTTTTTTATTTTCTCTTTTTTCAAAAGTAGTCTACCTTGTGATATATAGGAAAAACTTGGTCATTCAAACATACTTTATAAACTTGCTTTCATCTTATCGAGGTAAGGAGGATTTTATCTCATGATTTATAAATTTAATTAAAAAACTTCCTTTCATTTTCATAAACATGCTTTATTTGGTACATGGTTATATGATATTTATTTCAAAAATCTAAACTTAAAAATAAATTTCTTGAATATCAACCCTTAAGTATTTGACTCTAAGGGTCATTTGAATCAGAGTTTTCTAAAGAAAATTATGAGTAAAACGTTATTTATGTTATTTTCTTGAGTTAGATAAATTTGTTTAGCTGAATGATGAGAAATGAAAAAGGGTGAAAGTTGTACTATTACGAAAGGTGATAAAAATGTGTATAGAAAATTACAGATATATAGTTGGAGTATAGAGTTCAAAAATAATTTGAAAAATATGAGAAAATTGAGGGTGATGAATGTTGTTCATAATGGATGCACATGAATTCCTGAAAATAAAAGCATCACATGCCTCACACTTATTTCTTGACTAGACTCTTTACTATACATTTGCTAAATGATGCCTAATGATGCTACGGCTAACCAACAACTATTCAAATATATGGAAGACCTCAATGAATTTCAGGAGCAATAATTGTGAAATTGTGATATATGTATTATAACACAATGATTGTATGATTATAATATATGAATTCTATTATATTGATTGGTATTATTAAAATATATGTGTTTTAATACATCGATGATTGTGATTATAACACATGTCGTGACATATTAATTAGTGTGATATAATACATGTATTATGACAAAATAATTAGTGTAAAAATGTATGAGTTAGTATAATTTTAATATATATTATAAAATATTGTTGATGTGATTACTTTAGCGTTGATCCATTATAAATTCGTTAAATCATTATTTCAATTTGATTTTAGTGGTGAAAAGAAAACTTATTCTTACTTTTAATTTTTAGGATATAAAGTATGACTATTCTAAGAAGATTTGTTAAATTGATTAAGACTAGAATCATATTCTTCAAGTTTTGGTGTGGGAGTGATATGCTTGTTAAAATTTAATATATTCTGATTTTATTTTATTTTTGTAATTATCTAATTTAAGCTTTAATGTATTTTGGTCATAATTTGTAAACATTATATTCATGTATTTCAAAAGTGCAAATGAAGTAATTGTTCAAATTTTCATTTAGTATGTTATATTATGACAAGAGATGTTTATTATGTTTTAAATTTTATCATTTTAAATAGTTATTAAATTTTTGTGAGTTTTCTCATATTAAACTTTAAAAATGGTAAAATAATAATCTAATTATGATATTAATTTTTTTATAAATTATCACAAAATAGTTTATAAAAATAGGAGCATCACAATTTAGTGATGTATTTTTAGAATTATGATTTATAAATATCAAACTTTTGAATTTAAATAGAAATTTAACATAAGTGTATTTTTTTTTACTATTCAATCATAAATTTATTTATAAAGTTATAATGTGCTGGTCAAGGTTTATCGTACATCCTTTCAAATACTTCTACGTTTTTATGACTTGAATAATAAAAATGAAAGTTTTAGAATTTTTTTTTAAATTTGCAAGCTATAAGCAGAAAAAAAAAATTATTTTACTTTTCTTCTTTTTTTATAAATTATTACATAAATTGAATAATAAATTAAATGCGTCACACATTTAACCTTTACAATTAAAAGTCACAGACTTCAATAATTTTTTATATTTTATAAAAATTGTTAGAATGATAATAGAGTTTCACTCAACTCACTTTATTTTATTTCACCAACACTTACTATAAATAAATAATGTAGACTATTTTATATAAAGGTATTTAATTTTTTTTTACTAAATATTATTAGAATGAAATGTTGTATCGTCTTTTATAATATTCATATTTTATATACAGTATTTTTGAAGAAACATAAAGCATCATTAGTGAAGAAATTTGAGAGGTTGCAAGAATTAGAATGAAACACTTAAACATATCATTAATCAACCTATTATATAATATCACTCATTCTTTTAACTTTCTTTTTTAGAATATAAATTTTTATGTTCATGTCTATTTAATTTTTAATTGGACTAACCTAACATTTATGTGAAAGAAAAATAAAAATTGAATTTAACCGATCTTTTTTTTTTATATATAAGAATATTTTTTATTTGTATAAGAATCTTTTTTATCTACATTTGATGATTTTTTTCCTTTTATTTTTTATCTTGTTATATTCTTTCTCTTTTTACTCATTTTCATCACTCAAATTATTTCATTTATGTCCATGACGCTACAAATTTTTCAAAATTAATATGTTTTAGTTGTTAATTTAACTTGCTTAGATTAATCTAGAGACGACCAAAAAAAATTTTACTAAATTTTTTATTAAGTATAATTATTTTTTTTATTTTAGTATATTTAAAGTTCATAAAATGATTAATTTGTATTTAATTTTAGATATGCTCAATAAAAATGTTCATTATAATAATATTTTTATTCTTTAAATCTTATTTATAAAAAATATTTTTAAATACATTAATTACTAAAATGTTTCAATGTTTTAAAATTTATATTAAAATTATAACATGAATCTTTTAACTTATTCTTTTATAACATAACTATTTGTATCTATCTATTTAATTTTTAATTAGGCTCACAATATTTATGTGAAAGAAAAATAAAGATTGATTTCAACCAATTATATATATATATATATATATAGCAATTTTTATTATTTTTATAAGAATCTTTTTTATCTATGTTTAATAAAAAAAATTTAACATTTTTTTCTTTACCTTGTTACATTTTTTTATTCATTTTTGTCACTCAAATTATTTTTTTTTATAACTGGATATTCACCACACCATAATTAATTTCCCATAATGTATAATTTAAAATTTATCATACCGTCTCGGGATAGTAAATTATTTAAGATTAATATATTTTGGTTGTTATTAATTTAACTTACTTAGATTAATTCAAAAAGAACAAAAAAGAAAAAACAAATTTCGCTAAATTCTTTATTAAGTAATATATTTTACATACATTAATTACAAAAATATTCAATGTTTTAAAATTTATATTAACAAAATATTCATTTATTATTTATTTATATAAATATATTTTAAATTTATTATAAATTTATAATATATAATAACTCTTTTTTTATTAATCTTACTATTTATTTATAAAATAATTTTTTTTATATAATATAAATTTTTAAATTTATTTAAACTTTTCATTCAATTTATATCTAACAAATTATAATTTATTATTTTATTAAATTAAATAAAAAATTTAAATTAAATATAATTTTTTTTTAAATTTACACTAAAATAAATCCTTTCTATACAAATATTGCACAAATTAAGTCACGATAGTTTAAAGCTTCTAATTTTATTTTTTAATTCATTTTGACAAATATAACTCGGTTCCTTCATCAAATATGAAGAATATTTTTTAAAACTTTTCCCAGACGAAAGGGCATCATCAATTATCTATTTGATATAAAATTAATTTTACTAAAAAATATTTTAAATCATTAAATTAACTAAAATACATGGATATATTAATCTAAAATATATCTTATTAAAAAACACAAAAATTAAATTTTCAATGCCACAAAAAACCCTAACCTCACCTATGAATGAGATAAAAGAGCAATATCCATCTGAACTGTAAAGGTAATTCTTCAGTGAGTGTAATTTGCTTTCTAGAACATGTTAAGCCAAACAAATACAATGCTGGCTTTTACTTAATTGTCTATGTTAATAATACAACATAACACTTTTCAGTTAATATTTTTTAAATTATTACATATAAAATTAATACAATTTACTTTAAAATCATATTGTAAAACGTAAATAATTTGTGTAAAAATTGTAAAAGCGACGCATAATTATTAATTTATAAAATTAATTTATCACTTCAAACCAAGTGAGAAGTGATTCAAATTAAAAAAAGGATAAAATAACCACAACATCTGAATAAACGGTCTCGACCCATCATTCAACAATCTGTGAGAGTTTACTCAACAAATTCTTGGTCCAAAATAAAAAAATAAAACATTAAAAAGGAAGATCGAACTGTTTTTTAGATGCATAAAAGGATAAGAAACACAAACTACTTTCAAACGAAGGACTGATTTCCCTTTCTAGTAGCTGCGCGTGAAAAAGACTATTTTGCTAATTTTGGAGTTGAACCAAAACAAGTATTTACATTATGCTTGTGCAGAAAAGAAAATAAATTAAACTGAATATTGAAAATTTGAGGATATTCCATTTTTCTTTAAATCCTACCCTCTTTTTTTTTTTTTTGGTCATTTTATCATCCGAACCACGTTTATCTGTTCTCCAACTAAACTAAGCCTGAAGGACAGGACTAATCTAGAGGCTAAACGCGCAGAAATTTCAGATTTGCCATGAAATTTCAAATTCCATCACTCCATGCTGTTCCTCCATTCTCATCTCGCTCCCACTGTACACTATTATTGCCTAAAAACAAAAGGAAAATAGCTTCCTTTTTTTTTTGTTCACTTATCCGAAATTTCATTATAGGAACACTAATTACGTTCTAATCCCTTGGATTAGGAATCGACCCTACTAATCCCAATTCGCTTCACCGACACGTTCCTAAACCCATCAACACCCTGAAAACACATCCCATTCTGCTGCTCCATGTAACTCCTCACCTCCTTCCTTATCATTTCATGCATCACCGCCATAAACTCCGCACTCAAATTCAACGCCCCTAACCCTACCTCCGGCGCCGCCAACTGAGCCGTTACAGCAGTTACCGGCATCACCGGCAAGGGATTTGCCGGCACCGCCGTCGCCCGATTCGACACTTCCGATGAGTCCACGCCGGGAAGAGACAGCGACAGCGAGGTTGGAGGTCCGTCGTCGCAAGACGACGTCGTTTCCACAGCCGGCCGAACCGGCACGGGCCGGAACACGTACGACGGAGACACCGCTCCGGGAGCGCTGGAATCACTAACATCGGATCCGGAGGGGCTTCCCGGCGGCACCGCTGCGCCGGCGCTGACAGACCTTTTGAGCGGCTGCGGGCTGAAACCACCGGCAGCGGCGGTGGTTGGATCGTCTGCGATGACGATGGAAGCGCACTTGCGCTTGAGGGTGGAGTTCCAGTGGTTTTTTATGGCGTTATCGGTTCGGCCCGAGAGAAGGCGAGCTATGGTGGCCCACTTGTTGCCGAAGCGGGCATGGGCCCGGATTATTGTGTCGTCTTCTTCGGGCGTGAAGGCCCGGTGCTCCACCTGAGGAGATAGCTGGTTGCACCATCGGAGCCTGCAGGATTTCCCGGACCGTCCCGGAATGGACCTGCTGATTAACGTCCAGTTTCTGGGCCCGTGCCTCTCCACCAGTTTCTGCAGGGCCTCGTCCTCTTCCGGGCTCCATGGGCCCTTGATCCGATCCATGTCCTTTCGGGTTATGGCCATCATGCTTCTCTTTCTGCGATGTTTGTGTTAGTTATGGTGGATGAAGGGAATGAAATGGAGGAGGACTGGTAATTGAGTTATTGTGGTGGAGCATTGGCTCTTTCGATCATGCTTGCATTTTCTTATATCTGTGTGGGATGGGGCATGAGGGAACCGGTTTAGGAGGTTATGCTTTTAGGGGTCTCAGCGTCGGTCGTTGTGTTATTGGTACCGGTTGTACCCGGGAAGCGGTTGCCTTCGGTTTTGGGATACAGCTGTAATTGGACACGCGTCGCTTCTCAGCTGCTCCCCTTTACGCAAGTCATCCCTTCTCTTCCTCTCCTCATTTATCCTCTCAAATTATCTTTTTTATTTTAACTCAAAATTAAAACAAACGTAATGATTCCTATTATATTAACTGCTGTCCGTAAAATTTGAAATTATAAATAAAGATAAATATTAATAAAAATAATATTATTAAATAAAATTATTATATCTTTATTATAAGTTTTAATGCGTTTTAACATAATTTATGACGCAAATGTATTTATAAATTTTTATGATATTAATTAATAAAACCTTAAAATAAATATATTCAGTAAAAAATACAACAGCAACATATAAATATGTAAAATATTATATGATTTAAATTTATTGATATTTTTAGTAGTAATCTTTAACTGCACTGCTGACTGCGGACTGCGGACTGCGGACTGCGGACTGCACTTCATGCAACAGCGCGTCCACTGCAGACGCAACGCTCCACTGAATTATGGCCTCCAATTTTGAAATTCACTTTTGACATGTGTGTGTATATTTTGCGATTTTCTAGAGGGGTGGTGTAATGTATATTTAAGAATTTGTTTGGGCTTTAGAAGTGTTTTTGGAGGAAAGGGAAAGTGAAATTGAGGCGTTAGGGGCGAGTTGGGGATGTGGACGTGAATGGAACAGTTCTGGAAGTTAATGTGGACAAAGAAGACGCTGAGAACCAGAAATCAGAGGTTAAAATAATAATAAAATATTAAAAAGGAAAAGATAGAAGAAAAAACGGAAAGGAAGGAAAAAAGAGAGATAACGATGATAACGGTTGGGTGATGATGGGTGAGGTTCCTTGCTTGCTTGAGTTTGACTGAGGACTATTCCAGGCTGTAGAGCATTTGGTGTTGGGATATTTTAATTTTTGAAGTTTGGTCCCTTTCTTAGGAAAAAATAGGAGAAAAGGGTCCCACCAGTGTGGTGATGTGGCACAAAACGACAAGATCGGTAGCCGAATCGGAGCGCGAATCATTACTGCTTTCCTGTCAGTCCAGCCTGTATTCTTTACCTGCCTCCATCGTCTTCCTCCACACACACCTGTCGGTCACTTCCTCGCATCTTCCTCTTCAACCCTTCCTGCTTATATCCCCTGTTTTCAAACGCTTCTTGTTTCTTTACTATTTATGTCTCTTGTGTCAGTTATATCTTGTTAACAACTAGTTTAAATCTATTATTTTATTCACAATTCATATAATTATACACTCTTTTATGTAATTTACTTTTTAAAATCACTTTTAAGAATTAAAACTAATCAAATTGATTAAAAACATGAAGTTATCATAATTGTTATTTTAATTAATAAAAATTTCTTAAACTTAATTTGAAAAGCTAAAGCTAACATCTTTCTTTTTTAAGAAGTGCTATAACATTTACCAATAATTAAAGGACTAGCATTAAACAACAATGAATTAACAAGTAGAAAGTGTGGGATTAGGGGATGTATAATTGAAGCAAGGTATACGGAAAGGGCGAGGGAGAAAGTTGTCGGGTAGGATGGGGGTATGGTACTCACTATTCAAATGCTAAATGTATGATCCAACAGATCCGTATCCAATCCCTTTCTGTTACTTGTACCTCCTACCTACTACCTACTGCTTCCGTCTCCATGCACCGTAATATTTTCCTTTTTCTTTATCTTTATTGAAACATTTCTTTTCTTTTTTAGTGTCCCTCTATACTTCTTTTTAGTTTAAAATACATTTAAATTCACATTTCTTTACATTATAACATGAACAACAGGGACGTTATAATAATGTCATTCTAAATCAAAATCGGATGTAGACATTCTGACATAACTATTTTAAAAATCAATTATTCAAACTAAAAGTACTATTAACATATCAAAGTTATGTCATTATGCAATGTATGCAATAATCATCGGATTATAAGCGTGATTAACAGGCTATGTCTGTCACTCGAGCTTCACCTCACAAAAATGAATAAACAGTAGATTATAAACTGAATTTTACTTGTAATGTCATAGGTTTAAATTTTAAAATTACTATTTTAGGAAAGAAAAACCTTAACCACCATATCTGTCTTAAAATTACGGGGATTATAAAATATATGGATAGATATTTGTACAGAAGGAGCGGTAGAATCAGTAGTGGACAGCAAAATGAAAGTGATGTGTACAATTACAGTAACCATCATTTTGAATTGGCATTTTGCAGCTGTATTCACACAAGGGAAACCGTGACGATAGTAATGCTTTAAGAGATGGGTTTTCAAAAAGCAGTTTTTCACTCGACTCGGCATAGCATTTCCCAAAACAAGGAAAAGGATACGGAGAATTGTACTTTTGCACTATTGAAACCGTTGGGCCGGGACAGCTGTATTGTAATTATTAAGACGACAGTCTGATTCACTCTCTTTTAAAAAACAAAAATAAAAGTTATTAACAATTGCCTCGCAGACCAATTCTTATATAGCTCTTAATTTAACTATTTCAACCGTTTAAATAAATAGTTTTAATATGTAAATGTTTGTCTACTTTATAATTTGGAAGCAATTTTTATTCTATTTTTAATTTCCCTTTTTTGCAATATTTTTTAATTTTAGTATTAAGAGCTCGTGGTTAATTAAAAAAAAAATCCTTTCGAATCATATCCGCATTCCAGCAGTCACGTGGGCTGGTTGCTCGATCACGTGACTAGCGTCGCGCAAAGCAGACACACGTGGCACTTGCTCCCCTTGAAGCGGCAGCAAAAGCTTGGTTTCCACTGGTGAATTACGAAAGTGCCCATGGTGGCGGTGCGTTTTTATCAAATGAGTCCAGTCTAAAACCGTTGAATCTGACGACGTGTTGTCGATTCATCGTTGTCTTGGTTTTAGTGGAAAACAAAACGGTCTAATACCGGACGATGACGAGGTACGGAAGCTGAATAATTTCATTTCATAGCTCCCTCTCTCACGTCACGTGATGCTTTGCCAATGTTACTCATCCTCATCCTTCTTTACAACTTTTGTTTCCAAGAAAATTATTTTTTAATAGACAAGAAAAATTATTCTATTTTAGGCTATAAAATTCACTTATATAAGATATTCACAATTGCCCTGTGTAAATGCACGTGCATGTCATCTTATAAACGCAACGAATTAAACAATAAGAAATATTTATTAAAATATTTCTTATTAAAATATTTATTAAAATTTTTCTTATTAAAATATTTATTAAAATATTTCTTATTAAAATATTTATTAAAGAATTAAACAAAATAAAATAAATGTAAATCCGTAATTTTAAAATATTTATTAAAGAAGTAAAGGTAATCATATTTTTATAAAAAATTATTTTTTTAATATATTATTCTTAAAGTAATATTTAATATCTTTTTAATTAATACTGGAATGTAACTGTAATCACCTCAGTTAAAGGGAACAAAAGTATAACGATGATTGAATTTCTAAAAAAACTGAGAACAGCTTTTAAAATAATGAAATGCAAATGAACTAAATTTCAGAACCTATCAGCATAATTTATCCTTAACAAAATAACATTAATAAATGCAAGTATACATTAAAAATTTGCTACGATTTTTAACGTGTTCTCCACTTTAAATCCATGTAATTTCCTAAACTTCAACATAACATAATAAGATAATTTGGATAAGTAATTAATTATCTAAAAAAATATAATCTAAGCTTATTCTTAAACTTTGAGAGTCAAATCCTATTTGAGAGACCCAGATTTTTTCGTTTTAAAATTTTCATCAGGACTACCTATTTTATAATATGATTATTTCTTTATTTCTCTCATTAATTTTTTTTATTATGTCATCATGAGAATTTTATCACCAAGATTATCTCCTCTTTAATAGAAGTATTTATTATTTATTTACTCCTTTTAACTCTTTTTCATTAATATCAAAATATAATTTGTCATATAATTTATTTGCTTCATTAGTTTAGATATTGGTAGAGTTATAGTAAGCAAAGATAACATTCTTGAGACTCAACACTTTTTTCTTCACATAGACGTGAATTTGTTCAAGTTTTATAAGTTGCACAATTATGTTGATGTTAGCTAATTTGCTCACATCAATTAAAATTAATTTCTTCTAAAATTACTACATCAAAAATGAAATGTTAGACTGGTTCCGGTTGAATATAAAGAACAGTTATAAGTACTATAAAATTTCACGCAATGTAATGTCTTAAATTTAAGAGATCGGTTAAATAACTACTCTCAAATATTTGTTTTAAAGAACGGTTCTGTATTTAATCGTTCTTAGAAGTATACTTAAAAAATAGTTAACCACGTAACTGCTCTCTATATACGACACTTTGGAGAGCAATTTCATGTGGAACTGCTCTCAAAATGTAATATTAGAAAATAGTTCCACATGAAATTACTCACGGAAGATGGACAAAAGAGAACGATTTAGAACTAACTGATCTCTAATCTTAAACTTATGAGAGTGATCCTTTGTAACCGCTGCAAAGTTCACTTCTGAGAGTGGTTCACCCATAACTGCTCTCTTAAATGTACTTTTGAGAGTGATTAATGAGTGAACCGCTCTCAGAAGTACACTTAAGACTGTTCTCAGAAGTAGCGGTTGTTTGTGAACTGCTCTCCAAAGTTAAGAAAAAAAATTTAATTTATTTAATAAAACTGTTAATATTTTAAATTTTAACATTCCTAATAAACCATGCAGTATTCATAACCAGTACAATCAGAATAGAAATTACAAACAGAGTCTAATATACCATAATTTTAAAGTAATTGCACATTACATTATTCAATTACAAATCAAATGTAACGTTGAAGACTTAATGTCTTGCATTTGTACAT